TGTTTGAATTAACAAATATTTGCTTGACAGCTCGTGACCGTTAAATTTAATTGGATCAACTAATATTTTTTTGAAACAGCAACTTTTTTTCTTAATGTGGAAAAGCTAAAAAATAACTTCTAATAAAAAATGTATGTGTATGGATATCTGGTTCATTCTTTATTCGTGCATTAAACTAGAGAAAGAACTTCCCTTTCTTCTTTCACCAAATTTTAAACATACACCTATTTTACCTCAAGTATGGAAAATGTGTGTACATTAATTCAGCTATAAAAAAAATGAACTTGTATTCTTGGCGGAGTTACATCCGCATATTATCCCTTACAATACAAGATACAATTTGATGCTTCATCCATCCAAACATAGATCACTAGAATCCGTCCATTTTTTCACCTATTCAAAAAATCTCTAAAAGTTCACCAACATACTTTCAACTTTCTAGAATAAATATTGAAACTTCATTTGGAAAATAATAAAATGTAGTATAATTTATAATTACCGACTCAAAGAAACTTGCACGAACAGGAATCGCTCGGTCACTAGTGACCCTTATACTTGTACGGTAAGTGTTATAAATTACGATTAAACGTTACATTAGAATTTCGATTTTATAATCGCGAGGGACTTCGATCAGCGATCGCGATTTGACATTTAATTTTACAATACGGTTCAAATATACCGGTGTTTCAATAAAAGCGATCTCTTTCGAAATTGAGCGAATAACTTTTGTCATCAAATACACAAACCTATTGAACACACGGTATTATATGGTACACCTAGCATAATACACCGTGGGTACCGATGCCGAATGTAATTGTGTTTGCTTTCCCCGCCGGGAGTACTGAATTAATGATCAATAAACATGCTATGCTCTCTTTATTGACTATAATGTCATACACCGCGCGATTATCGTCTGTTATATTTATCTACCTAACATTCGCACCTTCCCAAACTACCTCCAGGGCTTCTAAAATTTTCCGGAAGTGAAATGTCTGAATGCCTCTTATCAATTAAATGATAGACATCCTGCATTTAGTACAAAATAATTTTAAGAAAATTTATGTGCAATAAAATAAGATTCTCCCTCTCCAAGAATCCCTCATATTCTTTTGTATAAAATAAGTTTTACCTTATAAAAATTATCTTATAAAAATAATCCTCTTTTTATATACTCTTGACGTCTTTTTCTTTAGGTACTTAGCAAAACGCGATAAACTTTTCTTTAGTTGAGATCGATTCGGCAAGCGGAAAAGTACACGGGATCTACTCTTCTTGCAGCTATCAAATTAATTCACATATGCTCTCGCATAGTCGGTGTCCTATATAGAAGAGCGGCGTAAGCTAGACGAGGGGGGTGGTGGACCGTGCGATGGTAAATGACTAGCTTTGATTCACGACGCCATTGAAAGCCCGTTCCTCACCGGGGACGCAAGGATATAATGGTCGGCCATATTTGGCGCTTTTCCTGGTTGTCTTGCGAAACAGCAATGCATTCGTAACCCTTCTCTCCACGTAGCGCACTAAATCATATCGAATTTTAATAGATACGGAAAAGAAAGGGAAAAAATACGATTTACACGTACGTATTTTATATCGTGTGCTTTTTCTTTGGCGCGCGATTTGTTGGAAAATCTATGCTCCGCATATCAAGATGGAAACCATGTATTCGGATGCCTGTGCACGTCGAAATAAAAATATACTTCTAAAACTCGGAAACTGCATATCTAAATTCCTCGTGTCTTGAACTAGATGGTATTCAACATTCTTCCATTCACGTATCGCGCCTGATATCACATGCACACATTCGGAAAAATATATGAGATCGATATTCCTTGAATTTTTCCTCGTATATCTTATATATCATACTTTTGAAACGAATTGGAGAAATGGGTTTTATCTCTAAATAAAGATAGCTTTATCGATGTTATAAAATAGCTTGGGAAAGTATCTTAAAAATTATTCCATCGTAATATTATTTTATTGACAATAAAAAATATTAGAAAAACATTTCTCTCGAAAATTATTTAACAAATGGTTTATATTTCATAAAGATTTATTTTATTTGTGGTTCTGTTTTTATTTATTTCATTTATTCATTATATGTTTCATAAAGAGCTACTTTTATCAGGATTTCCGCAAATTGAATTCTATAAAAATATTCTATAAAATGCAGCAATAAGCAAGATTGTACTTAGTTTCAAACAGAATTAATCGTTAATGTAAAAAAAAAGTAGATAATTATAATAAATGAAAAAAATTGACTAATATGAATAACAAAAATAAGCAAAAAGAATCTTATTTGCTCAAAGTAATTCTTGATGCCTACACCGGGAAAGTTTTTTGATTGAAAATGAACATATCATCAATCAGAATTTTGGTTATCTCAACTAAAATTATAATAGATTCAACCAAAAAACTTGCTATGCAACTAGACTCTTTTTTCTAATACCTATAATAATATTTTTAAATGGATTTTACAATTTCCAATTAATGTAAACAACTGGATTGTAAACGCATGGATTAATTTTCTATTTAAAATGAATTAAATAAATGACATATTTTAACATATAAATAAATAAATTTTTACCATTTTTTAAAATCAATATAGAACACTGTAAATAAAAAATTTATTATGACTTAGAAGCTCGTTTATTTAACAGTGTCTGCAGTATTTAAATTAAATTACCATTAATGTTTGTAACTCATTACCGCTGTTTGAGGGATTTTGCGACCAGGAAGTTGGTTATTATTGGCATATTGAATTTTACGTACACTGAGTTTTAATAAATGAGAAATCCGTGTCGTATCATCGATTCGACATCTTACAAATGCATTTAGACTTCTTGATTATCGATTCTCAATAATTACCTCCGGTTGCGCGGATTCATTAATCTGCCCTTTTTAGTCATTAAGAAAAAAAGGATAGGAAAGTATCCTTCGATCTGTGTTTACGAGAAGTACTAATCGATATTGCATTTCGATTCAACCGCGCTCGCGCGCTTTCGAAAGTTTAATTTTTTAGCAGACTTGGTAATACCGCGCTCGTGTGGAATCCGTTCGGCTACATCCCGCCGCGAATTTTTCCATCGCAATTTATCTTTCAAAGAATATCGTGTTGGCTTCTATTTTTTATCATCCGATGTCGCGTTTATTTTCTTCATATATCGATTTTTTTCACAAAGCGGATTTTAGAAATTTTTAAATGGATCTTTTACGATTACATTTATAACAATTGTGTCTAGAAAAATTGGCAGAACGTGAGAATGTACGTGAGAATGTATAATATAGCGTTGCAATCTCAAAGAGACAAAAATAGTAACAAAGTCACCATCCGCTTTTAGGAACTTATCATATAAATAATGGCTGATTGCGCTATTATTTTATGGATTTAAGGAAATTGAATTGCAAAGATGGGAGACTGAATGAGTTGCTTCCGACAGAAATAAATGGGTCACAGTTAATTGGGCCGCCAGCATGTCTCGTTTATCGAATGTTTAATTTGTCTCGTTACGATGCCGGCACGTAATTAATTTCAATTAATTATTTCGTCATTCCCGGGTCATCCTCCGCTCTCATTTTACGGCAATGATTCTACGTACAGTTTATTCGCGAATAAAATCACGTACGCCAATATGTAGAGTTTTACGAGAGGGCCGTGAGCGCCGCGTGCCCATGTCACAGACGCGATCGCCGACTGCATTGCGGTTATAATTAATTGGCAAACTGCAAATTACATGATAATTCTAATTATTTGTCGCTTTGTAAAGCGATTGCTAGGATAATGGCATGATTAGAATTTCATGATTGTCTGTACCGCGCGTTCGTGGTTACCGGAATCGAAAATACCGGAATTGCAGTTGTAAGTATTGTTTTACTTGTATACTGTCGTAGGATAAACTATATAATATTATAGTTAATAACGTAGATAACTGCGCAAACTTATGAACGTCTCCCAAATCTTCAAAATGTTTCTGCTTTACCAACTTCGTCGCAAAGTATACTTATTTTTTATGAAATTCAATATATTCTTGTAACATCTTTAATGATATTCTACCAATTACTTCTTAAATGAACGTTCTTGCTAGACGAGATACAGAACTTCCAAGAAAGTATGAACTTTAGGCGATAAAATTTAACTTATGAAAACTTGAAAAATTTATTAAATTGGAAAGCGCACATTAACTTTGGAGAATCAATTGTTTTTTAATAGTTAATATGCTAAAAGCGGATATTTATATTAACTTCGATATCGAATTTTTCATTACTACAAATTGAATAACGACACTGATTTCAAAATCAATTGAACGTGAATCATTTCAAAGCACAAATTAGCAATCAGCTGTTTCGACGAACGATTACTTAAAACGCATTTTATGTATCAATTTTGAAATAAATTTCGATTACTGCCTCGCATCTACTATAATGGCTTCTCCAAAAGGAAAAAAGAATTCATTATGAGCGATGTGGATATCGAAAAGTGCATCGATTTATAATTAATATTCGAACTAATTCCCGAAATAGATTCTCTCTTTGTGAATTGCATCTATCTATTAAAATATGCAAGCACTTTTAAATAGGCATGGCAAATCTGTGATTCAATTATCTAGTAAAAATAACTTCTCTTTCACTTATTAGCCTCTTTAATCCCTTTCTCATTAAGAATTAACGTTAGGAACAACCTGCGTGTATTCAGCTTTGCGAAAAATGTAATGGACTTTTGTAGCAATCTACGAGATTGCTACAAAAAGTCATTCAATTTTATATTTATGCCGAATTCAAAAATTTAATAAAATTTACAAATTAAATGTGCAATTTTTCTGTCAAAATTAATCAGCATATTTAATTATGCGATTACTTCGCTTTCATTAAAATATAGATTTTGTTTACGATTTTATTAGACATAACGATATTGCGATATAATTGACTGTTACTAATTCAAGTATAATTAAAATGTGATACTACGTAGCCGGAGTGTTTTTCATATCGTTTGTTTTACTCACTTCAGCGGGAAAAGCATAGTTATTAATACGATGCTCGGAACCATGACCGTCGTCCATTCCGTAATGAATATATATTTCTTCGAACTGATAGTGATAGGCGAGAGGGCCACCCGTTATATTGACTCGTATCTTCGCCTCCCTGTCTGCTCTGAATACCAGGAATTGCCCAGTATTATGTAAGTGTCCGGAAATCTGAAAGCAAAATTGATTGTAGTTTGTTAGTATCAATAATAAACTTGGTCAGTAGAATGCAATTAAATAGATTCGTTCAGACAGCAGTCTAATTGCATTAATTGATTGATATTGTAAATGAAAAGAAAGTTCGTTATTCATAAAATTAATTCGTATCCTCTTGAGTAATAACAAAATGACAACAAATGTTCAAATTGTAATAAATATTATTAGAAAAATTAAATAAAAAATTTTTTTATTTAATAATATTATATTTTTAAAAAATAATAAGTGATTAAATTTACAAATAATAAGGTAATCACGGACTGCATAGTGTTTCGATATAAATTTATTTTTTAAATAATTCTTTTTACCAGACTTTTGTGGGTGATAATGTAAAGAATTTTCAACACTAATTCGATGCACTTTAGAACGAGAATCGTAAACAATGAGAGATTCGCATGCCTTATCGTAATGAGCTGCATAAGAGCGCGGTTGCAAAGATGTCTACAAGAAAGGGCGGCAACTCGTCGTCCGCGGGATAATTGATTAGGCATTTAATTGGATGGAATAGCAAAACCAGACACGGTGCCATGTCGCACAGGAGCTCCGGCAAAGTGCAAGACGAGGCCGGAGAAGTCCATTTTCTTGTACGTCGCCGAGAACCTGAATTATGGCGTCATCAGTTAGAAATAATGAGGTAACCTCGGGGAGAAGCCAGCCGCGGAAGACACGTCGGCAAAAGTCGTCGGGAGATAACTTATTATTTTGCAATAGATTTTTGGCTCCTCTGACCTCCTTTCCGTACTCCGATCTTTCTCGTCTCCTGCGCACAACGATTCTTTCTCTCTCCCTCTCTTTCTCACAAAACTTACTACATTAATATAGAATCTTTCTAAGATACGATTTCTTGTACTCAATAAAAGATGACTCCTACAGAAACCAATATTTTGGTATATCAATTTTTTGTTATATGTGAAAATATTTTTTAATCTTTTACCGTTACTTTTTAGAACAAATTTAATAAAATAGCGAATCATTTAGATACGATAAATTATATTGTAAAAAAAAAGAATATAAATTAAATAAATAATACGTGTAAAAATTATATAATTTATAGTAAAATGATATAATTCATAAATATATATATAAAATTGTGCGTTTAAAAAAATTAGTACTGTTGTGTCTGTAAATACATCTTTATATTAGACGGAAAATGGTTGTAATTTTACGTGTAGCTTTTTTTATAGTGTACAAGTTACAATAATTTTGTATCGCAAATTTCAATTAACGCATAATTGTCTCTAAATTTAATTAATCCTACATCGATCGTTACTCTCACTTCCTCATCGCTGTTTCCTCCCGAATTCATTAAGATATGGGAGAGTGGCGGGGCTCCTTACGATGACAGAGAGAAATGAACACGAACAGGCGGCGCGACGGCTTTTCCCCGACGCGTAGAGGAGAGTCAATGGTGCATAACTCATTATTTCGCGATAGATTTCCACCCTCCAGTCGCTAAGAATTATTCGTTCGTTCCCCTCATCTTTTTCGTTCGCGCTCGAGTTCCTTTTTCTCTGGTACCATCGTCTCCGAACTTGGATCAATGGAAGGAGACTCGGTGGGAGACCGGAAGGAAGACTCACAGCGGAACACGGTAGTTCCGCGCGATTTCGAATGGGCACACAAAAGCCGCCCTTCTTTCAACGAAACTCAAAGTTCGGCCGGGAGTGGATCATCTTCCATCCTTACGCCCCTGTCTTGTGAAGCTACCCCTCTCGCCGGTCGTTCTGCAAAGTTGTCCGCCTCGGTCCGAACAATCGTCATTGCGCATTCTGGCCGGCTGCCGTAGAATCCACTCCCATTTCGTTCCCACAGGAGCTGCAGAATTCACGAGCGATGTTGGGTAATGGCGGTCGACGGGAAAGTAGGAGGGGGATGTCTAGATATAAAAAGCGCGTGGTGCCAAATCTTCTTAAAGTTCATCGAGTTCGCAGTACGGCGATGTTTCACGATTAATACCGACTCTACCGACAACTTCCTTTTTCAGGTAATGGGAATGCCGCTTGGGAGAAGTCATGAGAATAATCGAGTTTCGCAGGAAAGGGTTGAAAGGAGAGGAGGGGAGTGCTTAGTTAAGAGCGCGCTAGACTCTTGATGTAAAGTCTGGTTCTCGTGGAGTGTTTACGAGATTGCCGAAACTCGCTAAATCCGTTTTCCATACGGACTGCAATTTCGCGATTACGCTCCAGGAATTCGTGAACTATGAAAAATGGATTTAGTTGCATAATGTGCGAAAGCTGGCAGGCGTTATATTTGGCTCCCCGAGCTTTCTCACTGCGATCTTTATTCGTGATCGAAGGCCGCAGTAGAAACGGACAATGCCTGCTCAGTTGATTGGGTCTTTCCGTTAACCAGAACATTTTTCTCTGCGTAAGTTTTTTCTAAAAAAAAAAGCGTCGTACTTGAAGTACAGAATGAAAGTGAATCTCCTCACGGTGACTAACAGAAGAAGGTTGAAAATTCTTTTTATCTACCCAGACAAATGACTCTAAAAGACGACATAAAAACATCTTCTGAACATATTGCGTGTTGCGTCTGGGTACAATTGAAAACTTCATAATACCAATCGTACAAATTGTACAACCATCTAACATTTCCACTTCGAAATCAAATGAACCGTTGCTGTAGCCGAGGATTAAGCGTTCTACATAATTATTTTATTGATTCAAGAGATTATTTTCAGATCTGTATCTAGCAGAATTTTTAGATATTTCAGCAAAACCGTTCTTTCCGTGTACACCAACCAGCAGAATTAAGCTTCCGCGTGAAATGAAGGAAATCAAGGTAGTCGGAGGATTAGTGGAAATGCCACGAAAGACCTCCAAAAGCCGGTTACGGAGTCCAACATTGTCCGGTAATTAACACGAATCGAGCGACCATCGGAATCGCCCCGCACGCGACTCACGTACGTTCATCCCCCTTCCCCTCCCCCTCCCCCTCCTGTACTCGGAATGCGAAAGCTCGCCTCGCTCGCGTGCCCCTTTCCTGCACAGTTAACTAACAATCTGCTCTGTTTATAGAACAGTTAAGATCGTTTCATGCGCCGCGACAGTTTCTTACACCGTTCTACGATCGGGTTTATCGAAACGTGCCGCTTCAATTATGGCTGCGCCGACCACAGAGGCACGTCCGGGAATTGGCAATTCCGGCGCGACGTAAGAGAACACGCTCGTTACAGCTTCGATTATAGCGAGTCCGGGGTATACACATACAATTCGCTAGTTTCGCGAGGGAATTGTTCGTGCGAAGAAACGTACTATGGTATCGACGGGCCGTTAGCAGCGGCTTTAGTGTGCGCCAGAGATAGAAGTAACTCGTAAAGGCCTGATGCCGTTCCGACCGAAATCTACTCGATCACTTGTTGCAATAAAATTACGATAGGCAAGTAACGCCGATATACAGAATGGCTCAATTCTACTCTACAAAATTTATGGATTACTTTCGTTACTTGCTAGATTATTTTAAAATTCATTAAAATTTCTTCATTACAATTATAATTCATTAAATATAATTCATTATAATTCATTAAAATTTCTTCATTATAATTAGAATTTAGTATAACTTCAATTTGAAAAACAATGCGAGCCGATTATTTAACTGTATTATTGTTAAATAAATTATTAAAATATTTATCACTGATATATGTGCTTTAAATAATTATACATGGAAGAAACAGACATGGTTGAATTAACAAGATATGTTTGATTAAGCTTTGATACAAGTAAACAGAATTTCTGATGACTAAAATCAAATATTTTGGTAGGCAACCTTTAGGTATAATATCGGTTAGAGTTTGATTAATGCATATGTAGTAATAATATACAAATATCTGATTATTATAACTACAAGAGGAAAGAGCATGGTTGAATTAATAATAAATAAACAGTTTGATTATTGTATACGTAATTCAGGTGTTAATTCAACTATTTCTTTTCAGTTTTAAGACCTTTACTGTTATACATAGAGAGAGAAAAAATGGTTGCAATTACCATAATTTAATTAGAATTGATAGATATTTTTTGGAACAATTATGTATTTATAATTGTTTCGATCATGCAACTAATGTGCTATTAATAATAATCACACGCACTTGAAAATCGTCAGTTTTTCTCTCTCTCTTAACATATTTTTTAATTATTATTACCACTATAAATAGTAAGTGAATTTGAGAATAGTTATATTCACTGTAATTACGATTATATTTACTGAATAAAAATGTTTATTTTATTTGCTATTTATATAATAGCCATAAAAATAAATCTCCTGATCATAATTATTTTACCATGTAATTGTAGTCACAAATATCAAAGACTTTTCTCTCATTGTCAATGTATTTTAAAACATAGCATCAATTCACACAAAAATCTGACAATTTATGATCTTGGGATAAAATACCGACAATTAAACGCCAAAATCCATTTCATTATATCATCGAATTATAGCAGATGGGACAATAACGAAAAGAGCCGGATAGAAATTGACCGAGGGGAATTAGGTTTCACCGGAAACGTAAGTTTCTATAGCGAAATTATGGTATCTACCGTATCTACGTCTGCTATCGTACTTGAAACGATCTATAGACATTTTCGCGGGCAGACTGGCCATATGAACGGGCTCTGAGAGAAAGCGAGAAGGACTGGAAGAGAGATGAAATGGCTGGAACAAGCTTCACTGAGCCGAAGACGTACGTTCGACTCCAGGAGGTGCCCGGGCGCGCGGTTCGTTCTATTGTTTAATTTAAGTGCCAAAGTTTTAACCGGGTTAAACGGCGTATAAATTCACGAGGTCCCCTTCCCCGGTCTCGCTCGACTTCGTCGTACCAACGGGGGTCCGTCGGTCGGTTGGTCGGTTAGCGTCGACTATGAAACGGCCCGAGACCGCGTTTAAATAGCGGAATCAGGCGAGACCAGGTGTGACGTCACAGTGCGGTTTCCGTCGCACGAAACCCAGCTTCGTCTCGCCTCTCCATACGCTTCCTACAAATCGAGGGTCGGACTTGAATCTCATTCTTGCCAGAAACTAAAAGATTCGCATTCTCTTCTGAAAAGATTTTTCATGCAAAGAAAGTTATATACGCATAAGTTTAGACAAAAGGATCATTATCTCGGAAACAATGACAAATACGGCAAAATGCTATAGGATTATATCGATTCCTCTCGACAAGACTTACGAGAAAATAAGTATCCTATGTGTCGAAGCTGTATCTACCATTGTTATCAAGAAAACGATCGCAAAGTTTAGACCTGCAGGTATAACTTTTTTTTTTATCAAAGAGTGCACGTATTTATATATATAAATAAAAATATATATAGTTGTTTCTTCTTTCACTTTAATTTCTCCATTTTATCTCGCTCCTAACTCAATCCTTTTTCTCCGATTCTCCCTGATTCCATGAAACTTTCAAAAACTTTGCGCCCTCTATGTATTTGCCGCCGCGTGTGATTTCTCGGCGGTTTCACGCCGCTTGTTTCAATGAAAGAGGCGAGGGTCGGCGCGGCGCGGCGCGGCGCGTCGACGCGGTTAACAGCGCGGCAAGAGGAGGATACTTGAGAGAACTCTCTTTAGCGCTTCTCATTGCGCGCACACGAAGGGAGGAAGCCGCTTGCTGGAGGGTAGACAAACAATGAAGAGTCCCGTTCGTGGCTCGTTTCAAAGCATGGTGGAATGCATCCGGTGACGATATAGCTCGCGCGCACAGCTCGTGAGAAACACGGCTACTGACGGCGACGTGGAAAAGATTGACTCTACGATGAGGGGCGTAGCGAAAGGAAGCAATGGAAACGAGATCGCATAGGGTGAGAAGGAAACGATGACGGTGACAAGAACGGGGAACGACAGGGCAAACGATACCTCGAGAGCGCGTTTAAACCTTTTCACGTGCATTTCCGCGGAAGACACTTTGTGGTCTCGGTCTCTGCGCTCGGCGAAGTCGAAGAATGCGCACTTTTCTCCCTTTCTCTTTTCTCTCGTAAAGAGGAAACAGGAAGCGAAATAGATATCACATCTACGACTTCTGCGAGAATAGGGTGGGTGGATAAATAGCTGGTTGCACTGAATAACGCATAGTATGAACGAATAAGCCAGGACGCTGCACTGATAAAGTCGAAGAAATAAGCGAAACGCATAGAATAATGTGAAAGCGAAGCCACGACGTTAGTAAAATCGCGAAGAATAAGCAAAACGCGTAGAATAACGTGAAAGCGAAGCCAAGAAAAAAGGAAGTAGAAAAGTTCTGCGAAATTCATCGGTTCATAAATATCTAGCATCAAACTCATCTTCCGCAAATTTTCTATTAACCTGCTGTATCGTTTTACACGCAAAGCGAAACGTTTTATATTTATCGTTATATTTTAGGCGACATTTATTTGAGGTGATAAAGATTGTAAAAGATACGGACGCGCTTTTACCTCACGCCGAGACGCGACGAAACGCGATAAAAGGAGTCAACATTGAGAGACACCGACGTCGCAATAATACCTTCGTCGCAAGCCAGTTCTGGTCGCTTGCATCTGGTACAAAAGAGTTATTGTCACGATCGCGCCGTATTTATTGTATCCCTTCGCGGGCAATATCGTCGCGCGGGAGTTTTCGGTCAGCGTTTCGCATGGAGAGACTGGCGAAATACGGCGGCGGGACTCGTATCCGTCTGCGAAAACCCGTATCCAATGTCGTATCCGAGAGAAGGCATTGTCACGGTAGTCAGGCATTTTTCATGTTCGCTTTTCTGAGGAATAACGCCCCGAGACCGCGGCCCATGCCAGTGCGCGGTGCATGTCCCGTGGAAAATGGTGGGAACACATTGAACACGAGAGGAAAGAGGTGACCATATAACGCTTCGGTGCCGCGATAGAAATATCTTGGTGAAAACGTTACGTTATAGTACACAGATCGACAAAATTGAACACTAAGAGAAATTTTTTTTATATTCGTAACTATAATTTCATAGCATCATAATTATAATTATTACTCTATAATATTAGTAATAATAATCATGTTTATAGTTCTAGCAAAAAATATATATATGTAGCAAAAATTACTACAAATTATGGTTATTGTTATTAAAATGGTTGCAATTAACATAATTTAACTATAATTTAATTGCAACCATTTTTGTGGAAATAATAACTACAATTTATAATCATCTTCGGTGCCAACTATATTTTTTTTAAACAGAATCATAAATATAGGTAATTATTACTAATATCACAGCAGTAATTATGTTATTATGTAATTATTGACACAAATATCAAACTTATCTCTGTAAATAAAGTGAAATATCGGTGACGTAAATTGATAGAAATGGAAGCCATAATGAAGAAATGACAGAATGTTGTTAGATTTTGTAAATTTGTTTTATCGAGGTATTTTTTCATACGAAATACGTATAATTTTGTAAAGCAAGCCAGAAAGCCACTTGAAAAATAATATGTATTAAAAAAATAGTGCACGTTATTTTTATACGTGAATAATAGAGTGTGATATTTTAAACAAGTAATATGTTTCATTTTTCTCTTCCGTCGAAATCCCACATATATTCGCATGTATAATTTTCACTACTCTTTTTTATTCTACCGGTAAAATTCGAATTATAGAGTTGTATTCCGAAAGCAAAAAGATATGAATGAGAATATAAATGGAGATGTAAATCGAGCAACGCGCGCGTTACAAGTTCTTCCATTCTACATCGAAAGTTCATACTTCTTCTATATCGAAAGTTCACAGAGACTTTCCGTTCATGCATTTATAAACGGTTTTCGAGCCCTCAATATATTCTTCAATGCGCTCATACTACATGCATGAGTCACTTGCAGTACATGCAAATAGGCGAAAATTCAAAATAACGAATATGTATAATGTAAGAAATATATAATATATTATCTTTAATAAAAAAAAAAATAATAGACGTTTTCCTCAATTACGCAATTTTTTCGTATGATTTTCTAAAATTTTCATGCTGGATGTCTTCATTCCGCTGAAAAATTATTAAAAGTTACTATCATCGAATCGAGCCGAGTAGCTTCGAGCTGCAGACGAGTGGTATGATGAATAAATGTTTCCTTAATGGTAAATTAACGTTCCCCGTGGCTCTTGGAGGCATCCTCACTGATGGAGCGGAAATCAGCGTTAAATAGGTGGCCTCGTAATTAATGGCTTTATTATCGAATCAACGAACTCGGCTAGTGAAAAATGGACAGCGAGAAAGTGGAGCAACTCTCGCCGGTGAATTCCAAATCCATTACTATCACGTGACAGCTCTGGGAATACTTTTACGGTAACCAACCTGATTTTATTCTTGCTTTTCGTAAGATGTTTCAAAGCAAATGAATCATTCTCAGCGTTTTAATTTTAATTTAATTCCGGTATTAATTTTGGTTAAAATATCGGCTTAATAACTTGGTGCAAATTTTATCCAGTTTATACAACGCTTCGATATTAAGTCAATTGCTATATATAACTTTATCTTTTATAAAAGCAAAAAGATATAATTTTATATTTGTATCTGTTTTACAATGCGGAAATTGTCATATAATGTAATAATTCTCTTCCATTCCGCAAAATAAGAATTCCGGTAAATATAAAATTTTAGCGTGCATATTATAATAAAAGCTATACAATTATGTAAAATGAAAATTGCTGTTATATTTAACGTTAAACAGAATCATATATTTATTCAGTACGTGAATCGTGTTACATTGTGTAATTATGAAATTTCATTAACGTGTACTGCATTTATTTTTCTAGCTGCGATGCCATTTATACTTCATTTTATTCGAGATAATGTGCACCAGGCTTCAAATAATTAAAATAATTATCATGTACTGTTATATAATTTTATTCTGACTTGTTTTAATTATAAAACGCGGCTATCTATACACATATCGATCTTGCGAGCAAAGCAACTCGATTGCAATGCGCATAATAGTGAGTGACACGTAATTACATACGATAGTCAACATATTCAAACGTATCCGCTGTAAACAATGTATCATGAGTCATAATGAGTGGCCACGTTTGGAAATCATTAATATCAATGAGAGGTATCTCTCATTACCTGTCCGCCAAACGCAAAAACCCGAGCAATTTAATCATCCCACCGAGGGACACCCAGTATGTACTCCGCTTGACTAACGAGCGTCCATCAGACGACTCTTTCGTCTTCATTTGAAGTGGACGTGCACATGGAACAAGACCGAACTTCGGCATTTTACTTCTTCGTTCCCTTTGTCTCGAGATCATGCTCGAACGCGCAACGATATACAGGATACCCGATGTCATCGCGTTAAACCTTTAGTTTATCGGAAATTGGTAAATTATGTAATAATGTGAAAATATCTACCGTAAATTTGAAACATCTGCAATTGAAATTTAATTCGATAGGTGCGCGTGACGTTCTGCGAATTTAGAGCATATTTTATGGCGAAATATTTTGTATAATTAATTTTATGCGTCGTTAATTAAATATTGATATATAATCTGGCATTCTCTCAATAAAATTTACTAAATCTCTACAACACATCAAGTTTTAAATTGTAACTTTTTCCACGAGATTCTGACTTTACCACACGCTTGCGTGCCTGGAGACCTGTAAGAATTCTACTCACGAATTACTTTGCAATTTTGTAGACTGAAAGATTAAATAGATTACCCTGTGTTTGTCGACGTGCACCGGTCTCAAGTGACGATCGAAAAGCAACTTGTCCGGCTCGATGTTGATGGGACTCTGCCGCCTTCCTTTGGTGCAGAGAGACCACTGCGGATTTATCAAACCCCAAAACGAAGGTCCTGCAAAAAATATCATCAATATCGTCAATATGGCAAAAAGACTGGAAACAGTAAAAAATTAAAAAAAAATAAAAAGACTTACAAGCTTGTGATTAATTTGAGAAAACTTTAGAAATTCTAATAGAAATAAAGAACATTAGAAAAACGATTTTAAAGTATCTAAAAATGAAGCTAGATACAAATTTATTGTTAGTTAAATTTTTGGATACTTCAATAAAACTATCTTTTCCATGAAAAAAAAAGATCCCATTTATATAATAATTAGATAATTGTTACCCAATATTATAGATAACAATTTTTTTTAACAAAAACGTTTTTTTTTTTGTTAAAACGTCGAAAAACATGCTGAATGTGTTATTTTATCTCGAAATTTTGTACTTGTATCGTATCTCCGGACAACTGGGAAGTATGAGAGAAACTCGGTCGCGCAAATTCCCAAGAGAAATTCTTATTTTCTCTGTTTGAGTATGAATCGTCATGTCACGTGTCAACCGCTCGGAAATCTAAAATTTTTATAATTTTAACTTTTCCGGCTGGTCGCGCCGACCGGTCCGTTTCTTGTCCGGCCCGCGTCAAGTTTCGCACAGCAGAAGGGATTTTGAACTCGTTTCGCCAGCTTCGTACGCCAGGGACCGACGCAACTCCCTTCCGATACTTCCGTCTTAGGGACCGACCGACGTTCGCGTTTTCCGGCACTCCTCTGAGAAATTTAACTTTCTTCACGTCACCCGTGAGGATCGATATCTCCAGAAAGCAGCTTAACGAATCTACGATCGCGAATCTGAGCGAAAAGGCACGAATTGCGTTGTGTGCCTGTATTTCTCGGATTACATTCAATATTTACAAATAAATCCGTCATTTATATATATATATATATATTATTAAATTCAATTATACACAAAAAACAATATTAATCTCTATTCTCATTCATATTTATATGTATGTTTATTTATATCTGTATCTGATGGATCAATTTATCATTTCATTCCCTGTAATCCGAAAAAAATAACAAGTCACACTTTTAATCCACTCATTTTTGCGAGAAATAATAAACTTTCTTGAAATGTTTTTGACGTGAGCGAAATTTTTATTTTTCTAATAATTATTTGTTTACAAAATCACGGTCAATTAACAATTCTGATGAAACAGCGATTTATGTGCAACATGTTAAAGGTAAACAATAAATTATTAATATAACAACTCGTATAAGCAACACACTGGACGCGGGAATTTGGTAATATAACGGTAAATGAGAAACTCACACATACTGATACCATTCGAGAGATATCATTATACACAGAATGCTCTAAAAATATAGATTTTCATTGTGTTTAATTAGCCATAATTAATTCATTCATAAAAAGAAAACACAATTTGTTCGTGTTGAATTATAATTAATTAAAACAATTGTGATATTGGAAGTAAATATGGCATAATATTCCTCATATTGATAAAATTAATAACTACTACCACTTCCATCAATTCTGCAGTGAGTACACTAGGTGTGCGAAACATTCAAATCCTTCATCTGCAATTTAAGTCTTTTCTGATACTAGCGAAAATTTACTCTCAAATTTCTTCGAAATAAAGGAGAATTGAGTTCAGTTCCTTTATTGTTAAATTATACATTTTTAAACAAATTGTTATCTCTTCTTAATTTTTCCTCAAATTCAATTTTTATTAAATAAAGATTTTAATACTTAAACTAAAAAACTGTTTGGTAATGTAATACAGATATTGGAAAAGTAATCCTGGATTTTTTCTCATTTTTTGAAAGTCTAGAACAGTAAAAAAAAACTGAATAAAAAAGACCCGAATAAAAAAGATTACAGACGCATCTCACATTTGCATGTTTTTATTTGTAAGTAGAAAATCTCTCTTATCGAACTTTTTTACCATATCATTATCACGCACTGAAGAGAATATTGTTGCATTAATTGAAATTCTGGTTGAAAATGGACAAATTAAAATTTTCTGGTTGAATTTATTATATAATTCTAGTTGAGATAATCAAAATTCTGATTGATATGATCAGATTCTTTCGGTTCATTTTCAGAAATTTTTCTCAGTGTAATTATCAAACTTACCGCGTTATATAATTACGTTATAATATTCTCGGTGCCGTCGTACATACAAGCAATCATAGATAGACAGTAATATACTAAATAACAGTCAATATTACACAAATAAACTCGAGCATTTTAGATTACCCCATGTACGCGCTCAGCGAAACAGATGTGCAAACGCGAATGCGTTTCAAGCTCGTATATTAACACTGAGAATCCTCCAAGCGGGGTACAAGGGATGACACGTAATGACGTGCTGACACGCGAGCATAATCAAAACTTACGGCCTCGATAAACGTGCGTATCGGTTCGATAACGGACAACCCTGTGGATAGGTCTGCGCACAAATACATGCGCGTATGTACGCACGCTCATGTGTGACAGCAACGACACGTTGACACTTTAGTGTCGTAATAGCGGTGCAATTAACCTCGTTGTAATTAGCTTTTTCGCGCTAGAATGCACACTTTTTTTATTCTTGGTTGTCACGTGAACTTCTCTCTATACCTGACGTGCGCCTGTACGATTTATTTTATTGAACGGAACTCATTTATTAAAGAGTTATAAAGCGTTATATGTTAGACAGAGTTTTTTTTTACATTGTTAGACATCAAAAGAGCAATGGTAGCCTAATCTTATGTGTTAAATAACATTTTATCATTTTTAACTTTCATATCTGTCAAAATGTTAATCAATTCGTTTCTATAAATAAATTGCTTAATTTCAAAGTAAACAATGTGCATATTAAAGTATATGCTTATAAAATAATAAACTAAATTTGAGTAAAAATTTAATTTTGAAAAGGCGGAGATCTTCTTTCAAAATTTTAAAACTCTTCTTTGAACAAGATTGATTATAATTCAATAGTTCATTGTATTTCTCTTGCCTCAAAATATAGCACTTTTTCTGCGCTACTTTGAAGCGAATTTTCATAAATATTTATTTGAATAGTACTAGCTAAACATATACAATAAAATATAAACATATATTTATTTGATACGAAAATTGTTCGATTTAAATATCATTTTTTTACTTAGTAAATATTTATTTAAATTTTATTCTTTTTTTCTCAATATATATTGGTTTTCCTATCCTTTAAAAGTTAATACATTTCTGTAGTTAACTCTTCTATCAATACATAATTTTTCATCTCTTCTCGCTAGTATTGTGTTTCACAGGATTCTCGTAAAAAATATAAAAGTGAAAACGAGATAAAATCTGTGTAGTTCTGCAAAGTTCTTTGTTGTTCGAAGATCAAAGAGGTTTTTGAAACGTAAACAAAATTCGTGCAAAAATATAAAAAGTTTTACTGTTTAAAATTGCCAAATTAAATTGTCAAATAAAATGTCAAGTATAGAGATACAAGTACTTATTGACAAAAGGTCGCAAAATTGTTTAACTTCATTGTTTTAATTAAATTAACGATATGTTTAAATAGAAGCAGTGGCGACTCACACAAATGATTAAAAATAACTCAAATTGAGTATAATTTGACATTATAAATTTAACAGTAGATATAAAATGCATAGCTATTATAATGAAAAAGACATAGCGAGACATATGTATAAATTAGTTTTGATGTCTGTTGAAAGAGCATCACCTTCCCCCACGTGTTTACTTCCGCTTATAATTTCAATGTAAAATCACTAAACTCTCGCACCATAAATCTCAATCGGTTGCGGCGGCGTGGAAAATGCAGGGTTGATATGACGCAGAGGGATATTATTTTTTTATTTATTTTCTGAACAAGTTGTTACACATTCCCCGGCACGCTCTTTTTACAACTTTTCTCGCACGTGAAGCGAGAGCACGCGGCTTAAAGAAGGCTGCGGACTTGGTTTCTTAATGCGAGAGAAGGCTGTTATTATATTCGCAATCCCGCGACACACATTCTATCGCGTTTTTGTTTTTCCTTATTGCGGAATTTATGTCGAAGGAAATGGCACGCCATCGCGTTGGCCACGCGAGAGTTTATTAAATGACGCACGCGGTGCATATGTAAATGCACGCTTTCTCTTTTTATTCCGGTCGATTCGTCGCGCGACATTTTCGCATTGTGGTAACGCCCGATTTCCGCACCCTTCCGCGATCTTCGCCATATTTCTTTGTTACTGCCCATGCATACTGCACGGCCGCGAGATACACCTTATGTTAAGATTACCAGATCTTTTTTTATTGAAGTCAAATGATTGAATAAGGATAGATTTTATTTTCTTTTTTTTTTTAATAAAGAGATTTGTTAGCTGAACTAAAATTCGTTGCGAATTAAGTGGAACCCATAGTACACTTTTGGAACTTAAATTGGAATAGATATGTATTTAATATATTTGGCCAAAGTGAGAAAGAAAAGACCCAATGCAGTCTAGTACAAAAATAAAAGATAGATTTAAAAAAATCTGTACATAAAACTAGTATTGTTTTATATATTGTTTTATTTTGCTTAACACTAAAAGTATTGAGCGATTATTGTCATTTCTATTTTTTATATTAATATTATATTTTTTACGTAAAAGACTTTGAAATTTTTAACTTTTCAATAATTTTGTCCTTTATATACCTACTGATGAAATATTTAATTCTTCTTTATTTTTATAGTTTATTTGTCTGATCTTTTTAGTAAATAAGAAACGTTGGTATTTCTATAGTATTAACAAACTGCATTGCAGGTAAACCGGATTTTAATATTAAAAATGTTTTCAATGTTTGCCATTCCTTAAATTACTATCAGTAGCACATAAAAATCCCGGGACTGAACCCGGAAAACGGAGACGTCTGGTAACCCAACCTTACTTTATGCGTATCTGCTTATCAGCATTACACGGATTCACGATTTAATCCCATCAAGATCCTCAAACACACGCCTGCTGACTATGTGCGTGCGGGCATGCAACTGCGGAGAGACGCCTGAAGTATTTTGTTGCAATTTAGATTCCG